CTACTCCCTCGAAACGTGCCTGCTGCGTGGTACGTGGTGTCCGCCGGATTATGGCAGCCCCTGTGGTGGGCCTGCTGGGGCAGCATGTCCCCTGTCATGTCCCTCCCCCGGCTTGCGGCCGGGCGCGCCAGGCGCACAGGCACACCGGCACGCCTGCACGCGGAGCCGCCCCCCCTCCGGAGGACAGGGAGAAGACAAGCACAGAGAGGTCCGGGGGGGGGAGCACGGGGCGGGGGAATGGCCTAAGCGTCTCGCCCGGCCGCCGCTGGTCCTCCCGCCAAGCTCTGTCCCCCTACCCCCGGTGCCCCCCCCCCCCCCGGTGCCCCCGCCCCTCTCGCCCATGTCCTATTCTGGCAGGGACACGGGCGCCCTGTTTCCGGCTCTATGCCCCGGGGGTCGGCCAGGAGGGGCGCGCGCGCGCCTCCCGGTCCGGCGCCTATGCTTCCTCGGCCGGGGACCATTTCCCGGGAAGGGAAATATTCGGCACCTGGGGGAGGAGGGGCGGTCCGTCGCGCGCGCGTGCCCCCTCTCTTGCCCCCGCCCCCGCCCTCCCGCTCCGTCGCCCGCCCCTCACTCCCCCGAGGGGGACGGGGGAGAAAAGAATCGGCCGCGGCCGGGGATGGGCCGGTTCCGGCAGCGGCCCCCTTTGTGTACCCCGCGCGGGGAGGGGGGGGGGGCGGGGGCGGGGGCGGGCGTGCGCAAGTTCGGCACACCGTGCTGCCCTTGGACAATCCCACCCCCGCCGTCCGCCCCGCCGTCCGCCCCGCCGTCCGCCCCCCCCCCGCCCTCGAGCCCTTGCGAAGTGGGAGGGAGGCGTGCGCGGATCGGACGAGCACAGCAACAGCGGAGGGTGCCGAGGCAGACCCCTTCACGCTGCAGGCCGACAGACAGCCGGCCCCCCCCCCCCCCCCCCCCCCAGGGGCCCCCGGGAAACGAGACACAGGGGGGGGGGGGGGGGGGGGGGGGGGGGGGGCCGGGGGGGCCCCGGGGGGGGGGCCCAATTGTTTTTCCGGGGCCCCGGGGAAAACAGGGCTCCCCCCCCCGGGGAAGGGGCTGCCCCCACGGGTATTTTCGCCCACACGCGCACCCGCGCCCCCCCCCCCCCACACCAGTGGCCGAAAAAAACGGGCCCCGAGCGGGGGGCCCAGGGAAGGGGCCCGGGGGCCGGGGGCCGGGGGGGGGGGGGGGGCGGAAAGGTCGGGATCTCGCGGTCCCCCCCTCCCCCCCGGCGCACCCTCCTGGCGACAGACATAGGGGCACGACGGGTCGGGGAGACTCTTGCTCGACTGCAGGTGCGTCGCGCTCCGTGCGCAAGCGAAGAGAGCGCGCGCGCGAGCACAGGCGGAAATGCAAACAGATGCTTCACTGCTTGCCTACCGGACGCGGGGGCGCTTACGCCCCGCATCCGGGGGGGGGGGGCGCCGGGGCACGGCGGATACGTGGTCAGCGATCGCGGGCACGCACATCCGCGCGACCTCCAACGTGTGTGTGTGTGTGTGTGTATGCGTCGCTGGCGCATGTGTGTCCCCATGCGCGGGCCCGCTGGGACGGGCCAGTCGAGGGGATCACATTCCACCCACGCGCGCACTCACGCACGAACACCGCCCCCAATGGCACCGGCAAACAGGGGCAAGCGCCTGGCCAGGACTTTGGATCGAAAGACAACCACTCGCGGCGACGCAGGGCCCCCGCTCAAGGACCGGGAGAGTGTCCGGCGAGGCACCCTGCGCCCGCCCGGGGAGCCCCGGCCAGGGGACAAGACGGGACCCATCCCACTCCGGCCGTCATCAGCCCCCCCTCCCCCCCCGGCGGCGGGGGAGTTTCCCAGGCGCTCGGGTGCTACCTACCAGACTGCTTCAAACCCCCGGAAAAAGGCCAATTTATATCCATCCCTCCCATGCGGTGTCCCCGTATATTGGTACTTGTGTCTGTGTGTGTACGACTGTGTATGTGCGTGTGCATGTGTGTGTGTAAGTGTGTAAGTGTGTGTGCGTGTGAGTGTGCATGTGTGTGAAAGCGCGTAGTGGCCCATTCGGCGGCGCCCCTCCGTCTGGTAATCGACCCCTCCCCCTGTCTGCGCCTGGCCACCGGGCCCGGCCACCCCAACGGGGCCTCGCCCCCACCCGGGGGGGGGGGGGGCGGGAGAGATCAGACCGGGGGAAGGGCAGGAGACCAAGCACATTAGTCATCGTCTCGGTCGCCGCCGCCAGTTGCCTTGACGCTCGCCCGCTCTAGCCGGTCCGAGTCCCGCCCGCCCGGACGGCGAGCGAACGGCCCGGCCAGCCGGCCGGCCAGGGGCTGCCGCGTGAGGAATTCCCCGCCCGTCCGCCGTCTCGGTCGCCAGCAGGGGCTCCGGGGGCGGGAGGGGGGGGGAACACTCCAGTTGGGCGCGCAGTGCCGCCACGCCGCGTGCCCGGCCTGGCACCAAGGCTCGCTCGAGGGGGGACGCCGCGACGCTGTTGCCGCCTTCGACGCGCAGCCAGGGCCGTGTCGTCGGCGGGCCGTCGTGGCTCGCGCGCGGGGGCCGGGGAGAGCGGCGCGGCCGCGCCAAGACCGCCAGCGATCGGGTCCTGGCCCCCGCCCCCTGTGGGCGCGAGCCCCGGGAACAAGGGCTGGCTGGGCCTCCGGCCCCCCGCCCCCCCCCCCCTTCCCGCGCCCTCGCCCAACGTGCCTGTTCGAGCCCTTTGATGCCACCCCCGCCGCCCCCATGGGGATGGACGGGCGCCCGGAAAACCCGCGAGGCCGTGCGGCTTGACAACGCCGCCCGGGTCAAATGTGACCGGGGGCCAGGCCCGCTCCGTCTTGGTGGGCTGCCCCGAAGAGCATTGGCACACTCGCGCTGGTGTCCCAGTGTCCATTGCCTGGCTT